TCGTCTTCACTGTTTTCTTCTGATGATATTTCATATCGGCGTTTGTTGTTTTGATTATCAACTTCCATTTCATGAATTTGATCACAGTTAGTTGGCTCATTTTCAGGCACTTGAGATCGCTTTTTTGCACTTGATTCCATATTGACTATTTCGTTTCGACGCTTCCTGATTATTTGTTTTGTTTCATTTAATTGAACTATTGCTAATGGTTTTTGTTGTTGTGTTTCTGCCGTTGTTTTCTCTTTGTTTTGTTGTTGTTGTTGTTGTTGTAGTTGTTGTTGCTGATGCTGTTGTTGTTGCTGTTGCTGCAGCTGTCGCTGCATCTGCTGTTGTTGTTGTTGTTGCTGATATTGTTGTTTCTGCTGATTTAGTTGTTGTTGCTGTGGCTGCTGTTGTAGTTGTTGTTGTGGTTTCTGTTGATGTGGCTGCTGCTGTTGTGACTGCTGTTGTTGTGGTTGTTGTTGTTGTGGCTGCTGTTGCTGCGGCTGTTGTTGTTGTGGCTGCTGTTGTTTTGGCTGCTGTTGCTGCGGCTGTTGTTGTTGTGGCTGCTGTTGTTGTGGCTGCTGTTGCTGCGGCTGTTGTTGTTGTGGCTGCTGTTGTTGTGGCTGTTGTTGCTGTGGTTTTTGTGACTGCTGTTGTAGTTGTAGTTGTTTTTGCTGCGATTTTAGCTGTTGTAGCTGCTTTTGTTGTTGTAGTTGTTGTAGTTGTTTTAAACGTATGTTCTCTACTTTTAGTATTGCTATTGCTTGAGCACTTTGTATTTTTTGTTGCTGATTTACTATTTGCACAGTTGTGGTTATTATTGCTTTTTTATTATTAATTTCTTGCCATTGTTGTCGTTGTTGTTCTTCTTTAGCATTTAGCGCTTCGTCAGTTATTCTTTTAGATGTGGTTGGTAATTGCTTATTGGCCATTGGTTGCCGTTCGTCATTATTTTTCACTTGCGGATTATTCACTGTTGTTTTAGCTTCTTCTGCTTCTTCACTAGCTACTTCTAGCTTATCATTGTGTTTGATTTTCGTTTCACTTGTTATTTTTTCTCTGGCCGCTGCCGCTGCGCTTGCAGCCACACGCCTTGCGGCGGCTTTCTTTTTCACTTCCTCCGTTTCGCTCACTGTTTCTCTACTTTTCTTTATGTTTACTCCTGTCTCTGTCAGGTTCACTTTGCTAAACCTTTGCACTTTGGCAAGCTTTTACTTTTTACTTTTAACTTTGCCTCCTTTACCGCGACCAGTCATTTTTCACTCTTTTATTTTAACACTTCGAAAGTCACCACTGAACTAATGTAGAAACGCCGTCGCCGCTTCTATTTATACCAAAACTCAGCATTGCACGAGTGAGCCCGAACGATTGGCCATCTCGCTCTGTGCTCGAAAAATGAGATGGCATCTGCTGCGGCTCTCTTTTCAACCCTCCACGTTTTGCTATATAAGTAGGTAGCAACGGGTTGCTCGTTTATTGTGTTTTCAGACTCGTGAAGTGAACAGTGACAAGAAGTAATATCTAAAATGGCTCGTACCAAGCAGACCGCTCGCAAATCTACTGGTGGCAAGGCACCACGCAAACAACTGGCAACCAAGGCCGCTCGCAAGAGTGCTCCAGCCACCGGTGGCGTGAAGAAGCCCCATCGCTATCGCCCAGGAACTGTGGCTCTGCGTGAGATCCGTCGGTACCAGAAGAGTACCGAGCTGCTGATCCGCAAGCTGCCTTTCCAGCGTCTGGTGCGTGAAATCGCTCAGGACTTCAAGACTGACCTGCGATTCCAGAGCTCTGCCGTAATGGCTCTGCAGGAAGCTAGCGAAGCCTATCTGGTTGGTCTCTTTGAAGACACCAACTTGTGTGCCATCCACGCCAAGCGAGTCACAATCATGCCCAAGGACATCCAGCTGGCCCGTCGCATCCGTGGCGAGCGTGCTTAAGTTGCTTTTGACTAGCAGCCAAAGCGGCAATACATTTTGTACAAATCGGTCCTTTTCAGGACCACAAATATCTTTAAAACTGAGACTATAAATTTTCATATCTATAATTATTAACATTTTTAAATAAAACATTCTCCTTGCGTTTTTCTGGTTAAATTTGTCAGAATGTATACATGGAAAATAAATACGTTCTTTAAATGTGTGTAGTGAGATACTTTTAGTAGGTATCGGTACAAAATTCGAAATACAAAGATATTTTTAAGTTATGTTAAAGACTTATTTATGAACCATTTGTATGGAAAGGTTTATTCAAACATAATCCAGTATATTTTTTAATGCATAGTTTTTGAGATCGTAATGAAATGGGAATAAAAATGCTTATACAAGCAATAAGGCAAATATTCTATTAACAAAAATATATGTATATATAAGAGATAAAAAACTTTTTTGATACACCAGATACATTTACGATATTAAAATTACGCTATTAATTAAAAATCTAAAAATTTCATTCTTAAATGTATTTAATTTCGTCTCTCCTTGGGTAATAGACTCGGGTAAACTCTAATATGAATGTTGTATGGGGGACGTAATAGGGCATTACTAAGAAACGAATCCATAAATTCCCTTCAAAACTTTATTGACTGAAAGAACTTACTTATTTTTTAATAAAATCAACAAAATTAATATATTTTAATATATTTATATTTTTAGGTAGTTAAAACCATATCCGATAGTACCAAGAAAGTCGACCATATTTTAATGAGAGGACCAGTTTAAAAGTGGTCGTAAAATACTTTTTGTTGTAAAAATTGCAACTATTTTTATTGTTTCTTCAAGTAAAAGGTTCAAATTTTACGTTTTCTTAAAAATGTTTAGTATCTTTAAAATATTTAATATTTTTACACATGATTTTTAACGAAATGCTATGCCTACAAATTTAAATCTTGAACTTCAGACAGCCATACAAAATGACCCAAAGACTTATTTCACCTTTTAATAAATGTAACTGTTTTATGAAACATTTAAGAACTAAAAATATTTAAAACCTTGTATCATTTAATTACACAACACAGGTAAAAGGAGAAAATGAAATTGCACATCGAGCAAACATTGGGAGCGTAAACGAGCGCTGCCAAACACATAGTTAAAGTGCTCTCCTCCTCGATTCTCAAAAACTTTCTTAAGCACTTCAGTATGCTGCAATATCTATACAAACAAAAGTGTTTTTCGTTAGTTTTCGAAAAGAAATAGTGAAGCAAAATGTCGGACTCTGCAGTGGCAACATCCGCGTCCCCAGTGGCTGCCCCACCAGCGCCAGTTGAGAAGAAGGTGGCCGCCAAAAAGGCATCTGGATCAGGAGCTACAAAGGCAAAGAAGGCTGCAGTCCCGCCATCACATCCGCCAACTCAGCAAATGGTGGACGCTTCCATCAAGAACTTGAAGGAACGTGGGGGCTCATCGCTTCTGGCAATCAAGAAATATATCACTGCCACCTACAAATGCGACGCCCAAAAACTGGCTCCATTCATCAAGAAGTACTTGAAGTCTGCAGTGGCCAATGGAAAGCTGATCCAAACAAAGGGAAAGGGTGCTTCTGGTTCCTTCAAACTGTCAGCCTCTGGCCAAGCCAAAGGTTGCGGCTGCTGAGAAGAAGGTCAAAACCAAGAAGGTAGTCACCAAGAAAGCCGGGGCCACCGCAAAGAAAGCTGCCGGTGCTGCTGATAAGAAACCCAAGGCTAAGAAGGCCGTTGCCACCAAGAAGACTGCCGAGAAGAAGAAAACTGAGAAGGCAAAGGCCAAGGATGCTAAGAAAACTGGAGTTGTAAAGGCAAAGCCAGCAGCAGCGAAAGCTAAGCCGGCCGCCGCAAAGCCAAAGGCAGCCAAGGCACCAAAGGCCAAGGCAGCAGCGTCCGCCAAGCCCAAGAAGGCAGTAAAGAAAGCAACTGCTCCAGCTACCGCTAAGAAGCCGAAGGCCAAGACTACGGCGTCCAAGAAGTAAATTAAGATAATCTCTATTATCGCAATTTTAGATTTCGAATTCTGAAATTTGAAATTAATTTAAACAAGCCCTTTTCAGGGCTACAAAATCTTCTTAAAGAGACCAAAAATTATCAATGTTTTAAATATGGAGTGTTTAACTGTAGAGTAGATCCGCCTATACCAATTAAATCCTTTTTTAGGATTTGGTAATAGCATATCTCAGTGAAGTAGTCATTTCCGACCCTATAAATTATATATATTCTTGATCAGCATCAACAACTGAATCGATATAGCGTTGGTCGTGAGGAAAAAAAAATATTACTACATTTTGGAACATTTTTAAGGGGTTATATTATTGAAATTGCACATTTATTAACCCTATAAAACCGCAGAACAGCATTTTGTTTTAAAAATTTTACTTTTATTTATATATTAAATAAGAATAGGGCTCTTGAAAATTTCGTTTCTTTGGTAAAACTTGTTGTGGCCCTGAAAAGGGCCTTTTTAATGTTCCTCCGCATCTGCGAGAAAATTACTTGGAGCTGGTGTACTTGGTGACAGCCTTGGTTCCCTCACTGACGGCGTGCTTAGCCAACTCTCCGGCAGGAGCAGGCGAACAGCAGTTTGGATTTCCCGACTGGTGATGGTAGAGCGCTTGTTGTAGTGCGCCAGACGAGAAGCCTCGGCAGCAATACGCTCGAAGATGTCATTCACAAAGCTGTTCATGATGCTCATCGCTTTCGAGGAAATGCCAGTGTCGGGATGGACCTGCTTCAGGACCTTGTAAATGTAGATAGCATAGCTCTCCTTCCTCTTCCGCTTCTTCTTCTTGTCGTTCTTGGTGATGTTCTTCTGGGCCTTGCCAGCCTTCTTGGCTGCCTTCCACTAGTTTTCGGGCGGCATTATTTCACTTCACTTCACTGCACGATTCACTGATCATGGCAGCAAAGTTTTGGTGTTCGCTCTTATACTTTTTATCAAGCAATGTTTTCAGGTCTGTGGCGACCCCCCCTTACTGAACGCACAGGCAGAGTCAAAAGTATAAATTGGTGGACATCGACCCTTCGAGCTACATTCGTTCTTCGTGTGTGTAAGTGAATAAAGTGAAATAAGAGAAAATGTCTGGTCGTGGAAAAGGTGGCAAAGTGAAGGGAAAGGCAAAGTCCCGCTCCAACCGTGCCGGACTTCAGTTCCCTGTCGGCCGCATTCATCGTCTGCTCCGCAAGGGCAACTACGCCGAGCGCGTTGGTGCCGGCGCTCCAGTTTACCTGGCTGCCGTTATGGAATATCTGGCCGCTGAGGTTCTCGAGTTGGCTGGC